TACGTGCAAAAAGTGTAAACCATGTTTACTGCACGTTTCACATAAGTATTAAAACAGTGAGTAATACCAAGCACCCAAGACATGACTTTAATTTTAATACCTACATTAAATCTGAAAAATCACTCTGAAAGGTATAAGAAGAAAAACTTTAGGTGTTTGACATTCTATTCCATCGTCATTCAAAATTCAGTTCAAGGGGCCCACTGGAATAAGAAACCAGATCACATTTCACCCATTTGTTATATATTTCAAGTATAATAGTCATCTACGGCTCAAAAGTGTAAGAATTTCTGAAAGCCTAAATCCTCATACAAATGGCAAGAATTTGAACTTGCCGCGCGCGCGTGCCATGCACAGCGCGCGCTCGGAGGCTGCGGGAAGCAGCAGTTTGGGCGGGTCTTGCTCGATCGGCCTCGAGGCGGGATTCGAGTCTCTACCTGCGGCAGCCCCCGATAGAAAACGGGCCTGCCGGCACCAAGAAGGTAGTGCCATTCCAGACAGCACAGTAGAAGTTCGACGCGGCCGGCACTACACAGACTACGCCAGCGAGTGTACTGCGGGCTACGGTCGTGGGGAGAGGATCCCGGACGACCACACCCCTGGGAGAGGGCCTCTGGTGCGAGCCCGCGCGCCAGCGAGGCATAGAACCGCAGTGCCTTCGACGCACGGGAGTGGTGGCGCATCGCGCCGGGAAAGCTGTCTAAGTAACGTGGAAAGTTAACATGTTCTCTTGGGAAAGGGTTCTCTTCGGAAAGGCTTGTACAAATTTTGATGAGTAAGCTGTTGTTGAGTTTAAACTTTGTACTGATTATTCAGTAGACCAAGAACATAACAACGAAAGCAGTTCTTTTCCAGAAACATCTGATTAAATGACTAAAAGTTGAAGTCCAGCCGCTCCCTCAGGAGGGTGGCCGCATTTCCACGTGCGCCTGACTGTCTCCCCTGCTGGCCACCTGCACCGCTAGCCTCCCCCATCCCGGCGGCCGCCCACGCGTTCCTCGAAGGAGCTGCAGCCCCCAACCCTCGAAAAGGCACGCACACATGTCGCAGACTGCGACTTACCGGGCAGAATCATCGCGGGAGGCACAAACTCCACACCGCCGGCCAGTGCCTTCTCGTTGAGCAATCTCATGTTCCTATTTCATCTTATAATTCAATGCGCTTCGAGCACGTGACAACGCTGCCCTCGACACGTCGATCGTGGAATTAAGTGCGCTGCCTTGTCGTCGTCGACCAGCCACTGAACGGGTTGTCATCGTACGTAGTCCAAGTGAATCTGCCTTTGTCGGGATCTACATTGCGGTACGGGCAGGCCATACTCAAACACCGTCGGTGCCGAGAGACCGTTTGTGCCGCAAACATACTCCTGCTGCCAGGGTCCAAACTAGGGCCAGTTCCGTGGTCAAGCTGCGGTGCGGCAGACGCTCCCCGTAATCGGCGAACTGTGTAGGACGCCTGCATTCCCGCTTCGCTCGGGAGAGCAGCACTGCTGAAGTCCGCGCATGTCGCAGCGACCATGTACCAGGTATTCGGCAATGCCGTGTGCCATTTAAGTGTGGTACAGTTATCGTCAATAATTGTAGCTAATGTAAACAGTCAGCCATTTGTAATTCTTTGTTGTATAATCACGATATTTCATTTGTTTGACTCATATTTCATTCCATTATTTAAAGTAGAGTAGAAATTTAGTCATAATAAATAGAATGTGCAATGCAAATCTCAATTTTTGTCAACCTCCGCTTCCTCCCTTAACCAGCACCACTCGCCCTCCCCCTGGGTACCTCACGGCCCGGTGCGGCGTAAAATTTACTTTGTGTTGAAGGGCCTTTCAGTCCGTTCAAGCTCCTCCTCCCTCTTCTAGGTATTCTTCCCCTTCTCTGTACACCCCTGTCTGGTGCCAGCAACGACAGCAACGTCCTCGGCTGTCTCCCGAGCAGGATTTTGGGCTGTTAGGAAAGGTGCGGTACGTGGCAAGTCCTTCGAACGGGTGTGCCTGCGCTCCTCACCTTGCCTGTAGCTGCCTTAAAGGTACGAAAACACCTCTCCGCCTCACCGTTGGTGGTGGGCACACGCGGTTGGTGCCGTTTATTTTCAGAACTGAAAAAATCAGGATGTAAATTGTGGTCCGTTGTCCGAAACAATTGACTGTGGTAGCCCCTCTGTCACAAAACTCGCTCGAGGGCTTCTATCGTTGCGCTAGCTGTTGTTGAACTCATCTGCCCTGTATGACAAAGCATCAACCACAATAATCAACGCCTGTCCCAGAACGGGCCCGCAAAGTCTTCTTGAATACGCTCCCCACGACTCCGTGGGTTGCGGCCAGGACACTAAAAGCCTTGCCGAGATGCACCTTCATTTACTTGACAAGCTTCACACTTACGAATAATTTCCTGTACATCTTTGTTCACGCCTTACCAATGGCAGTGTCGTCTTTCTAATTGTTTCGTGTTGACAGTTCCCCACTGGCCTTCATGCAACATTTCAAGCACCTGTGTATTTAAGCTCTTGAGGATTACCACTTCCGTGCGTTGCTCATTGTTGTACAACAATACACCCGCCTTACTGATAGCCTGTCATTTTTACCCAACCATTTAGCATTGCTCCTATGTAACCTAGGTGGCCATCCTTTTCTGACATAGTCCCTCACCACGCTCAATTTCAAGTCTTTGTCCTGGCTGATGCTATCACGGCCTGTGACACGGGGAAATCCTGTAAGCTCTGCCAGTCTTCATTCCGGTGTTGACACTTCTTTTGACTCGTGAATCTCGAAGTCTGGATCCGCGGAGCATGCGTCATGACAATGGGTCGGCGTTGACATGCTGGGATGTGGTCCTATAATAGATCTGATAATTGCAGTCTGACAAAAAGAGTGCCAATATCTGCAATTTCTTTTCTGTCTTTATTTTTATGAAGAATGTGGTAAGATCACATATTATGAATTATGCTACCACTGTATCATATTAATCATTTATGTATTTTATGTATCTGTAAAATCTGATGCAATCAATATTAGAAAGTCTAACCAACCTTCAGTATGTATTATGTAAATGAAAATAATTATAAAAAAGCATTTAAAGTTGTTCAGGAGTTAGAGAATACGTAAATAAATAATATATGAAAATGACTATATATGTTGTATAATTTGGTTTACCATAGTATCTTAGAGTAATTTATACTAAAAAACATGTAAATAAATATTTGTTTAAAATAAAGTAATTCAAAGTTTGCAGAATTTACGCGTAAAAATCTAAATATTATATACGCGAGACCAAGTCGAGACAGCGCACCGCACGGAGAAGCAATGAACTAGCTTCAAATTGGTTCACAAAATCCGAGGAACAAACAGCAAGTTGACACGCTTATTCTCTGATAACATTTACACCGTCGCAGACACTCAGCTTTTCTGCTGGGTGCTTTCGCGGGCGATGCGGTTTCCATCGATGCTCAACTCTTTTGCAAACAATCAAAAATGTTCATTTGTTGTACAGAAATGAGTTAAATAAAAATATTGATTTCCAAACAAATATCATCTTTCGACTAAAAATTACGCGAAAACTACAAATATTTTGGAACGGCTGAACCTGAAATGATTTAAAGTTGGTCGCATTAGAAAAAAAAATAGTAATTTCAATAATTGTCTGGGACATGTTAGAGAAAGGTGAACTTTTGCAATTTTCGAAATATCATATATTTAATGAGAAATGAATGTACATTATGTTTATAAGCACACATTTGGGGTCGTCCGTACATTACGTAACGCTGAAGAGGGGAGATGGGGTTTGAGGGAGCGTTACATAGGGGTAGAGGGTCATAGTTTAGTGTTACGTGATGTTGATATTTAGTTTTAAAATCTTTCAAAATTTGTTTTATTCAGATTTGTATTAAAGCATTACCATACTGACAAATTAAATTAAAAATATAATAAATTAAAGAAGTTATAACCTATAAATTGCTGCAATAAATGAAAATATTTTTCATCAATGATATATTGATTGAATCTTTTAGATAAGGAAGAAAATATTCAAAGCTGATCTATAGTATATTCTAGAATTCAAATAGATGGCGCACAAGACTCGGAGCATATGCGTCATCCAAGACGGCATATGCACGGTTGGTCAGAAATTTTGTCGCCTATGCGTCCTTCTTTCATTAGAAAATTGTCACCAAACTTATTTGTGAAAATTTCTGCTTTATAATTGAGTTTTGGAGTGTATGTGTGTGTGTGGGGGGGGTGCTTGTCGCAAGCGTTACGTAATTATTAGAGAGGGGTTCAAGCACGCGTTACAGGTGCGTTACGTGGGGGGGGGGCAGGGGTATTCAAAATACTTCAAATATGCGTTACGTAATTTATGGACGGCCCCTTTGCATTATTCCAGCAAAAATAAAAATGAATCCGTTTTTGAGACAATCTTGTTTAGATATATTTGGAAAGTGGTCACGATTTGACTCAAAATTATTAAATCTCTTCATATTTTGAAAACAAAATACATTTCGTCGTTTAATTTTTTTTATATATAATTTCTTAAGGAAACACTACTAGTTATTGTTGTTGGAAGTCGTTGGAAATATTAATCAAAATGGAACTTTCTACTTTCAAAAATTCAGAGGTTTTAATTAAAATCAGCCCTATACCATGTTATAAATCTATTATACTCTTCCAACCAAAAATTTCCACGAATTCATGTCGAGTACCCGTAAAACGAATTGATCGTCCTTATGAATTTTTGGGAATATTTTGTGGATAATTTAGGCACTAGTGTTGTTCACAGATGGACGTTTTATAAACACAAAAAAACATTTTTTGGTATCAGGGATTCCAAAAATATGTATTTCCGTCATAATCTTACATCAATTTTTGCGCCATTACCTGTCTCTTAAAAAGTTTATGATAAAGTTTGAGTCTTCAGGATCACTATACATTTTTTGTGCCAGAAGAAAACAAGCAGGAGTGTGCAGCGTTGCCGTATACGTCAAGTCGAAGACAAACCACGGTGAAATGACTATACTATGCATGAACCACATCTGACCACAAGAAGTGGTTGTGGTCGGGGTTTGCGTTCGAGAGCAGTTCGAGAGCGCGCGTGAGGGCAGGGTGAGGGTGGAAAAGGTGTAAGAGTAGCAATGATATATTTCAAGTGAAAAAGCTCTCGATGGTTCATTATACGGGTCCCCTTTTGTCTGATTTATTGTGGCATTATGTCATAGTATGTGGTTTCAAATCAAAGTGAATTGATGCACCGAAACCGCGAATTGTACTGCCTCTTGTTTTAATGTATTATTAGAAGTTTGAAACTTTCAGGTTATGTTATGAGAGTTGCTGTTTTTAATATGCATTTTCAGTCTGTTGTGAACACCCATAATTGTTCGAGTGAATGCCATTCGCGGCATTTTCTACGTTTTGATTTTTCTTTAATAGAGTGCTTTTGTTATTTCTTACACTAGCAATGATTCATTTCTTTTGGACAGTGTGTAGTGAAGTGAAAGGACATTTTACAAAAATATTTTTTAAATTGTGAGAGTGTCCCAAGAGTTGCATTTACAAATCTACATCCTCTAGGTATTTATCCAAATGGATTAAATGAAATTATGTTAAATTTTCTAATAGTTTTCAATATTTGTTTATTATATTTATTGTATTGGTTATGAATAAAGTAAACATTTGGTTTTGTCAGACATGGTACTGCAAAAGTTAATAGCTTTGTGATGAATTATAGTATATTTCAGTGTGACTTCTGAGTTCACCATGTCTCAAGCATTACTTGCTTACACATTACCAAATGGAGCACAAGTTTTGATTCCAACACTGGATGCAAAAGGGGGTGAATACATACCATTAGTTCTGTTAGGTGACAGAACAGGCAAGTCAAAGTTGATGTTTTACTTTGATTAAGTTTTGTAATATGTGTATGAAGATATTGTTATTTATGTATTGCTAATTGTCTGTTTCAATAGATCCTCTCTTTGAAGCAAATAGTGCTGCTAGTATATTTTTATCTGGAATGCAAGTGGAAAGTGATGATTTAGATAATGTTGTGGATTCTGCATGCAGTTCAGAAACGAATGAAATTCAAGATAACCTTAATACAAACAGTTTTGGCAATTCCTATCCCGATAAACAAGACATTTTTGGTGGAACTGTAATTGTCAATTCAGAACTAAGTGAATTTGTTGAAATGCACAGATCAAAGAACGACATGAAAGATTGTGATATCAACATTAAAAATTTTAGTGAAGAAAGGATATCTAAGAGTGATCATATTTGTAATGTTAAAAATTATGATCTTGTACAGTCTAACTGTCTCGGTTCATCCTGTGATACAATTAAAGTAGAGGAAGTAGTTACTCTTCAAGAAATGTTGGACACGTGTGAAACGGCTGGAATTGTAATTAAAAATACGAATGGTGATAGCTCCCAGTTGGGGCTAGATGTTAATTGTGATAATGGTAATTGTGATAGTAATATTGTAAAAGACAATGTCTCTTTGAAATCCGGTATCAAATTAGCTGTTGAAGATGTGAAAAATGCTATTAATATAAGTGATTACATGGATATTAGAGACAAAAATGCTTCAGAAGAATTAGTTCAGTTACCTGACACGGTTGTCCAAACAGCAGATTCTGTTCTGAAAGAAGTGTGTGACAATGTTACACAATGTTTAGAAAATGAAAGTCTAAAGAGTAGAGAGGTAAGTTGCACTCACATTTTCTTTATTTCTCAAATTAATTATTAGTATAATTGAATTAACTCTTATGTTAGGCGTTAGTCCCTGTATTTTTATTTCATTTACTTTTGTTCTTATTTTTCTTTTTTAATTCTATTATGTTAGTTGGGCTTGTATTTTTATTTAATTTACTTACATTTTTAATTTTCTTTTTTTAACTATTAAAAGTTATTGTTTTATTCGTGCATAAATATCAGTGATAGTATTTATGAAACAGAAAATACTTTTTCATGTAATATAGCTAATATATTGTGTAAATAAATGTACATTATTCTTAATTACCTAGCATTGAATAAAGTGATCAGAAGATATTTACCATATATTTAACTAATGTTGTGAATATCATTCCATAGAAACTTGTTTGCTCCTTAAATTTATATTCTTGCAAATATTTTCATTCAGCATTTTCAATTCCTTTCATCAAGTGAACCGTTTTTTATGTCTTATGGATATATCTTCTTTATTTAAACAATTACTTTTCATTGCTTGCTGACCTCAGATTTTTCCCACTCCCAGATATTTCTCAGCCTTATTTTCTTTTTATCATTCGGTGATTGAGTCAAAACTTTCAGCAGCCATCTCTCATCTTTCTTTTTTGAAGGTGATTATGCCTCATCATTTTCCTCTTTTCAATCCTGTTGATTGTATCTATTTAAATTCAGTATATTGTTTTATACCCACATTGTTTATCTTAAATATTGAAGCTACTTTGAAGTACATCAATTTCTAACACTTGCCATTTGTTTAGTTACCAATTGATGCAATATCCATGCTTCACACCTTTATAATGCTTTTCCTTCAATTTTTTTAAAATTATATTTTTATCTTTTTATTGATCCCTATTATCATTATCTTTGTTTTGATTCTAATTCCATTTAGCTGCTAGCTGTCTCTTTGACCTTGACGTATTCAAATTACTACTGTCAACTATCTCCATTTGCCTTTATTACAAATACAGCTCCTAGATTTTTGACTTGCTTACATGTCTTGTTATAAGATTTGTATCAAGAAAATTTCATTTGCCACTCCAGTATTGGTGATATATTGTGGAAATAAAATAAATCTTATCTCTTTAAAGTGTTATAATAATTAGCTGGATAATTGTGATACATGGAATTCATAGTGATTTCCTCATGGATATATGAATTATAATGCTGATGCTTAATGTGAAAGAATGTTCTTGGCCCATTGTATCAGTATTTTATAATTGATGAAAATGTTTAATTTTAGGCATCAGTGTTGTTTTAGTAACAACTACTAATTAAAATGTATTTTAAATTAAAGAGTTATAAGAATATATTTTGGATGCTCTTTATGAGTGGGGCTTGAAATAATGAATTACATATTTCTGATTCTTTGTTTTAGTCTTGACTTGTGAGTTCTCTGAGAAAGCTTTGCACTATAATATTTATGTAATCTTTTAATTTTGATTTAATCTTGTAGTTGAATACCTTTGATTCCGTTAAAAAGCATCTGATAAAAATATGCATATATGATAAAAAATTTAATGTATATTAGTATAAAAAGATAATGTATAGTATGTCACCCAGTTCCTGGAAAATGTGGTGGATTATAAAATGGTGTCCAAACTAAAGGCGTTCCACTGTGCGTTGACTGGGTGAAATATACATTGGTTTTGTTGATAGAAGAAGACAAACATTTTATCTGACTTTCAAATCTTGAAATGAATGTGCACATTTTCAATTTAACATATATTTATTTACTTATCAATTGATCAGTTGGTTACCAGGCAGACATCCAATTTACAACAAGTATACATAGTCTGTCTGAAGTCATTTAAGTATAAAAGTTTCGCATGTGATGTAAATTGATTTAGTGTTACATTATTCATATTTATATTACAATTGTGTGTGATTGTAGTTATATTAGGATGAAAAATCTTCTTCTGGTATTTAAAGTTTCTTTATACAAGTCATTGCATGTTGTGCAAGTCCTTTAAATATTATATATAATTTGTAATGCACATTGTGCTGTTCAGTTAATCATATTTATTGATGTGTATTATCATGTTGAAATTTTACAAATATTACAAATTAAGCCTTTTCTTTGTTGTAGTTTACAGGACACACTAACAGTATGATTTTGGATCATTTAGATGAATTTGCTGAAATGGTAACATTGTTCAAATGCAGATTATGTAAATTTGCTGCTGGGAACAAAGAAGAATTGTTCAAACACTTGCAGACAGAGCACTTGGAGGTTAGTATTTCTTTGAATGCTTGACAATGTTGTTTTGATGTTTGATGATTGTCTTTACTGTGTTAGAGGTATGATACCAAGGCATAAGGCTTTTTAAAAATTTATTTTCCAGGGGCCATGTGATTCAGATCAGTGTAACTTGGAAGATAATGTGAACTCCGCCCCTCGAAATGGAGGTAACTTACATTTTATAAATGAAAATTCTCATTATTTGCTTGTGCCACATATTGAGTTTCATTATTCATTTAATTGTATTGTGAACTATTATTTCTGTAAATTTTTTTATATATTTTTTCTTCGGAGTCAAAGTGAATGGTTCAAAGATTTAAATGTTGCGGATTGTCTATAATAATTCAGACTCAGTAGAAAGTGGAATGTGTGTAGAAGTAACTTTTCATCTGTATTCAATGTGAGATTATTGGAACCATATACACAATAAATCCTGAGTTGTACTACAAAGTGGGAAATTCATTTATAAATATAAACAAAATAGTTGTTTTGGACATTAACTATTTAAAACTCAATGTGCATTGTCTACAACAAGCCTATTCATCAAGAGCTGGATTCAGGACTTCATGGCCTGGAAAATGCTTGGGGCATTCCTGGTGCTTTTCCTTCCCTCACTCCTTTCCCCCCTAGGTTATTTGCATTGTGATTCAAGGAGCATTCACATGTGGTCCTGTGAACAATCTGCAGTACTGAAAATTCTGTAAACCACACCCTCAGAAAAAGGAGAATTTCTTTATTGTCTTGGAACGTTAATTCTATCTTGTACGTTATCCAGTAAATAGTATTATGAAAAGAAGACGGACGTATTCTTTATTTGGAATACTGAGATAATAGTTCGAGATAGTGCGTCACATTGGACAAGCAATAGGGACACCCCTGTGTGGAAACCTAATCTCTCCAGAATTGTGCTTCAAATATTGCACCCCCACTCCCCGAGGAAACACATATGCCTGTGGCTATCTTGGGCAGAGACCTTAGGTTCACTATATTTAGCAGATCTAGTTTACACCATAACCTCAAACTCTTGTGGTTGCTGGTATAAGGTACCTCAATGTTATGTGGCTGCTGGTTATTTTTTGACAGTTTGTACTTCCAGATTTTGCTGTATTTTTTTATTTAACCTTTATTCAAGCAAGCAGTAACTATGGGACACAATGGGTGCTTTTTGCTGTCTTTTCCCTGGAATGCTTTAATGTTTTTGTTTTTTCTTTTCTTCCTGCATGTGGACTTTGGTCAATTAAAAATAATATTTGTATAAGTTCAGAATAATGAATTGGGGCAAGCAGTGTTTGGGGAACACTGATGTTCTTTCAGCAAGAAACTAGAGCTGATAATGTAGAATTTGAAACAATGAAATTCGTACACATATTATTCATTATATTTACAATAAAATTCATTTGATTATCTGTTTTCAGAAGGTAAAAGAAGCATATTTATTATTACAGTAATGTTACATGGTTTATTTAATTTTGTCATTTCAGCTGTAAGAAAGAAAACAGCAGTAAAAAAATGAGCAAATAACTCTTCTAATAGAAGAGAGGGATATTTGTGACAATTCAAAATATTAAAATCATCTGTGCAAAAATGAAAGAATAAAACACACTTACAATGCAGTTTGGTGAACACTGCTTGCCCAGATGTAATAAAAATTTCTTGTTCAGAGAAGGTTTAAGAAAAAAACATTACAGGCACAGCCACACAAAAGCCTAAAATTTGTAGAAAATGTATAAAAACTACTGAGCTCTATTAACAGTCAAAGAATTAGTTTTAAATTGTTATGATTTTGGACAAAAATATACTTCTGAGCTGCCCCATCTTTTCATTCTTGTAACAGTGTTAAAAATAACCTTAATTAGTTCCAAGAACAACTCTTTAAGAAAATGTATATCTCATTTTCTACATGGTATTGTCAGCTAAAGTAATGAAACCCTATATTTTCAATGAATGAAGCTAATATCCCCTCCAGAAAAAAAGCTTGCATTAATACATTACAATATATATGAGATCGAAAATTTATTTTCATTCCAATTTCTGATTAATTATCAATATAATAATAATGAGGTAATTCCAAGTTACATCATTATTGATAAAAACAAATATACACTCGCAATTCTAGTGTGTGTTAAGAGAACGGTTGCAGTATTACATGTTGGAAAGTATACGACATGGATCTAATAAATTAAATATTAGGTGTTGATAATACTTGCACATTGTTAATTTCAGTGCAGGTTATTTTTGATAATCCCATTATTTTTGCAAGAAAGTTAATTCAGAATAGAATTTTACTCCCAGATCTGTAATAGTAGAAACTTTTTCCAGTTTTACACCATCAAAAATACAAAAATAATCAGTACTCTCTCTACTCTTTCCTTTTCAAATTCACTTTTTGTCTTCCACTTTTAACTGATTAGATGTTTCTCACCCCCGTAGGCTCTGTGCAGGTTTTATTTTTATCTCTTAATTCTTGACCAAGAGGTTCTTGAAACCATATAAAATTAATTGTTCGTGTTTATTGTTACAGGAGTACTATGAAGGTAATGCTATAATTTGTAATTATGGCTCCCAATTATGGAAACTTTTTTAGTGCGGTTGTCATATTATTTTCAGTGAAATTTCAGTCTGCATATTAATAGCAGTTTCTGTGAATTTGTTTTTTCTCTAGTTGACCTCTTTAACTTTTCTGCTTCTAACTAAAGTCTAGTGCAGGAGTCTTATGACTTTTCGGCATCCTTTAATTTATATATGTTTATACCAAATTCTAATCGATTTAGATATGGTCCCTCTTTTAGGTGAAAGGTTAATCACATCACAACTAAAATAACATTAGAATAGATGATAAAGTAAAGAATCTCCTAGCCGCAAACCTCTATTTAAAAATTGAATTATTGAAAGTTTATATTGCCTAACAAAACTAGTTGTAAATTATTGAGCGTAACTTACACAATTTCTTTAACACCTATCCCATAACAGACAATTACTCTTTACATCTCTCTTTATTTTACATTTCTATGTATATGTTTATTTATATGCCTATTATTATAAACCACTTATATGTAACATGAACATTGATTCCTTCTTCCCTCTCTCAGTATTGCCTTTCTTGTCAATTTCTCTCTACCAGTGGCATCCAGCAGGGATGGGGGCAGCTAGGGGCAACTTGCTCCATGCCCCAACTTAATTGGAACCCTGGATTTTTTTCATTCAAAACCTTCCAAAAAAGTGTACTTTTAATTGAAATTAACCACTATAAGTGATCTCGGTTGCACAAAGAGATGACTTCTTTATATAATAGGGAGTGGGGGGGGGGGGCACATTTGTTCGAAATACAGAGCCCCTGTAAATGGACTGTGCCAGGTCTCTTTGTTTTCTCTTGGTGCCCCTGCTGTCCACTTCTCAATTTTTTAATTCTAAGAAAAATTTTGAAAATAATGTATCATCCACCGTGTAGTTGTCCCTCTCTTATGCAGAATACTTTTGATGTTATCCACATTACAGCTCACATAATTCCGTCCTCTTTCCCACAATTATTGTTTTAGTCACGATATTCAAATTTTCTACCTCCCTGCATTTCTCTCCTCTCAGTCACTGTCTGTTCCCTGACATCTCGCTTCAGATCCTAATCTTGCTGTTACCATTAGCTTTTAACTATCCTTCAATTTTTTTTAATGTGGAAAGTGGCATCTCAAGGTCCGTACGAGAAAGGGAGAGGGAAGGCAGACTCCAATAGAGAGCTGCAGCGATGCTGTAGCTCTCTATAGGAGCCTGCCTTCCGTATTTATTTTCGAGCATGTCCTTGAGATGCTATGTTAAAAAATCAAAGTATAATTTTTCTTAAATATTGAAAAATTGTACTTCAAACTATTGAAAGTTGTTAAGATCCCTACCTATGAGTAGAGGGCAATAACCAAGCCCAGTGCAGTTTTTTTCTTGTTGCTGTTTTTGTTTGTTTTTTATTATTTTTTTAATAATAATAATAAATTTGTTTCATCTTCAGTTGACTCAACGTGTCTTCTATCTTTGGTTAGACAACTGGCTGTTTTATCAGTGACTGTTTCATTGGTTAGGTCTTTCATTATAATAATATTTCATAATCGTAAGTGATAGTTTCATCTTCGATGCTCATCGGATGTTAACAAAAAATTTGAAACTGTTGCCAAGTGGCATCGTGTCATGGCATGTCCATAAATATGTTGCAATCTTACTCTACATAAATATGTAGAGAACTGTTTTTTGTTGGGAGCATCATAGTGAATGTTAAATTAGTTCTTAAAAAAGGACATGGCCATCAGAACCGTTGTGGAAAGGACCACAAGGATGGAAATGTGCAAAATGAATAACCTCTTGCCACCCCTCAAAATCTAAAAATATTTTAATATTAACTAAAGAAAAAGTTTGTATTATATTGATAAATAAATGTAGCATTAGTTCTTTAAGATACTAGTTTTTCCTTCAATTAATTTGCAATTTATTATGGGATCCGCTGTTGACTTCCATTATTAGTATTCTCAAAGTACCAGAATAGCAATTATATGCGAGATTTAAAAAATACTAAATAAGAAATTTTATTACCGTATATCGTACCGTTCACGGTGCTCAACGTCGTGTTCTCGGGTTCGAACATGCGAAAAAGGTAATAACAGATGAGAATCGCCGGTAACAGCATCGCTACACGAAAAATTCTTTTGTCAATCACAGTGATGCCATATTGGGTGAAGAAAGGCATCGTCTTGCTGAAAGAAAACGCATTTTGCGGGATTCTATATTTCCTTTGTTTACACGCTTTTTAAAGATACATTTTGGTTTTGTCATGTCAAACTATTTGACATGTCTTCACACCAGGCTCCCCCACCAACGTTTACCCCAAACACTGACAAAATAACAACGTAAAAATGTAGAAGACAACACGCCCTCCAAGTTGCTCTGATAAACAAGATAACAAAAGACGAAACGACGAAAAGCACAGCATTCTGGAGTCTGTAGTTTCAGAACAATGCGTCGATCCATGCAACTTTTCAACCGTCAGCCTGTGCACATGCACATACAAAATGCCATAAAATAAACAGAAAATACAATAAGCCAATAGATAAACTAAAATATTTTAAAAAAAGTCGAAGTTATTTTAAGTTAAAATCAAAATTCAATATTTTTCCTAATTGTTTTCGGGTGG